TTGTTAAGAGGACGAGTGGTGAGGTCTATCGCAATAGTTAAATTTCTCTATCGAGAAAAAGTTATTTCGCAATACATATCATTATCGGTCTATCGCCCAGCTCTACAGTTAACCTAACCCCACTAACTGCACACCGTTGGACTGTGGGAGGAAGCCGGAGTACCTGGAGAGAAGCATGACTAATTTAATTGGCTCCATTTATTCAACTTAAGAAATCTTCAGGAGGTGGAGGAGACACAAATGCATAAGAACTTCAATGAGCTCCAGAAATGCACGGGCTGTCCGTGATGCTTTCAGGTTCATTTTCTCTCTTGTTCCTGCAGAACTGCGACCTGTCCGGCTGCGACCTTCAGGAGGCGAACCTGCGGGGCTCCAACGTGAAGGGTGCCATCTTTGAGGAGATGCTTACGCCTCTACACATGTCTCAGAGCGTGCGGTGAACCCGTTTTCCATAACTATGTACACTCACAGTGCCACACCGACCATTGAATGCCAAACTTTTTTTTTTTCTCTGCTCTCGACCCAAAAAAGTGAGTGAGCCACAAAATTAAAACCTGCTGTTCATACTCTGAAGCTTCTTCACAGGCGGTGGCTCCTCTTCGTTCTGCTTTAACCTCCTTAAACCCAGTTTAGGCTCTTTGTTCTCTTAGCTGCTGCTGAGCAGTTTGATGTTGTTGTGGGAAACTGCTGCCACCAGGGGCGTGCCATGCTTGGCTTACTGTGATGCTTGGGCGAGTGGACCGTGTCAGAAACGTCCACCTGAACACCAGGACCCGTTGGATCCCAGTGAGATGTTCGGTGTCTTGCAGAGGCTATAATGTTGTGGCTGCTCATAACGTCAGCTTTATTTCAGCATTTTCAGACACGTCTGAAGTTCTGATGCGTGCAGTATTTCTTAATTTTATTTATTTTTTGTAAATGTAACGCAGGTTTGTGGTTGAGGATTGTGTATATAGTATATTTTAAAGGGGACCTATTCTTTGCATCACTGACAGTTCATAAAAAAAAAAAAAAAACCTTCATCACAAACTAGGCCTCAGTGCAGCTCCTGAGCTCTGTGATGTTCCTCAAGGATCTACTCTTGGTCTTCTTATTTTTCATTATACCTGCTTCCTTTTAGGACTTGTGTTTAGAAAGCATAAAAAATTTTCTCGTCGTTATGGAGCTGTTTTATTTAGCATGACCAAAAACTCCCAGCAGTCACTTTAATGCTCTGTAAAAGGATAAAAAAAACCAGGATGGCTATAAGCTTTTTAACCCCTCAGCTGTAGAAGGCTGAAGTATTTTTAGTCTGATGATCAGGAGTGTCAAAGGGAACCACAGCAATCCAGTCAGTGATAGATGAATTAAGTTTAAAGCAGGTCCACAGAAAAACAGAGGATCAACCTGTGAACTAATTTTTCTGTAGCTTTACAGCTATTAAAGTTTTCTCTGGTTTAAGGCCAGCTTGTGGTGGAAACTCTGAAGCATGTTGTTTTCCATTAAAATCTCAGGCCTTCGTCATCTGAATTATTTTAGGATGGACTTATTATTTTGTAGGGTATTTCTTTTAGTGTGTAGGCTTAGTTCACACCACAAACCTTTAATCCATGCTTCTCCTTTGACCTCACTGCTAAGAAGTGACTTAATGTTATTAGATCATATTTTTTGTTTTAGTCTTTTTTTCTTTTCTTTTTTTTAGCTTCCCCCCACTTTAAGCCAACTTTAATCTGATTGGCTGCCCCTCCCTACCAGAACAGTGGTGGGTGGTGCTTCT